TTGTATGGACCTCAAGATTTTGAATTAGGGCTGGGGATGTGGCTCAAGCGAATCGCGCTGGCCTGGCATGTGTGCGGCCCTCAGCACCACATACAAACAAAGATGTTGTGTCTGCCGAAAACTAAAAAAAATAAATATTAAAAATGCTCTCTCTCACCCCCTCTCTCTCTCACTCTCTCTTCCCCCCCCCCCCCCCCTCTCTCTCTCTCTCTCCCCCCCCTCTCCCCACCTCTCTCAATGGTTGGGGTTGTGTGTTATTTTAAGAAGAATATTCCAGTCTAATCCGGTACGTTAAATCAATCTCTTTTTAAAAAAAAAAAAAAAGATTTTGAATTAAATGTAGAGTGGACTGGTACTGATGTACAGATGCAATCAATCCTTGTGTTAATTTTACTTGGCCAGTACTATAAGTTGATGATCCAGCTATGCCTATGGCAGCAAAAACATAACATGGCTAAATTCCTTGGTTGCAATATCTTAAAATGTCTCAAGATTATGTTATTCTACAAAACATGTTTCTAAATCTTTTTCTCTCAGTTATCTCTCCAACTCCCCTCCCCTGTGGATCAGTAGCCTTCAAAAGTTTTTTCTCTATTCCTTCTTCACCCCCATGGCTTTGTTAGCCTTCTTTCCCAATAACTCAGCAGCTTACTTTTTGGACTGACTAGGGAGGGAGAAGGAATTGCTATCCAAACTAAGGTAATGAAAATGGAAGAAGTAGGGCGATAGACAGCTGCAAGGATCTGAACTGGATAGACTGAACAAACCCTCATCCTAAACAACTCAGAGATCAGATTTCTTCTCTGGACAGCTGGCTTTTTTAGTTTCTGAAATACTCTGCAAGGATGGGGGAGGGGCTGTGAACTACTTATGCTGGTGATCTTTAAAGTCAGCTACCCCTTAGCTACTATATATAGAAACTAAATGTAATATTCAACGTGGCAGGGATGAGGGTGGGAAATGAGAGGTATCCACTTGCCCACTATAAAGGCCAGGAGTTCATTATCAAGAATGCTGGAGGGCTGCCTGGAGTAGGCAGTGATTATAGAGTCACATATGCTGGAATTGGATATCTGACTTATCTGTCTTATTTCTCTATTCCCTACCCCTACCTGGCACTCAGTATCCATATTCTGTCTAATATTCCTACCCTCCTCACTGCCCCCACTCCCACACCCTACTGCCACCCACGTTCCTGGAATTTTGGACTTAGCTATTTTTAAAACTGTCAACTCAGTAGCCACCTCCCTCCCCCGCTCAGCTGTCCAATATTCTGGCCAGCCATATACTCCCCCTTCCCCCAACACCAAACCTTCTCTGACTGACTCCCTGACCTCAGTGAGATTGTAGCCTGTCTGGGGAACATGGGGAGCATGGAGAAAGAGACAGGGGACCCCCTGGCTGCAGCAGACTGACAGAATAGGCAACCATGGCAGGAGAGTTGGATAGCAGAGTAATGTTTGACCTCTGGAAACAGTAAGTCAAAATGAAATTGCAACTGCTTTAATACGCTTCTGGATTGACTTTTATAGAATTACAGATAGCTTCTTGTGTGTCTGCAGTCCCAAAGCTAGGATCTCTCCCTACCAAGGGTGCCACAACCTCCCTTTCTCTGGTCTCATTTCTTTTTGGTCTCTGATCTCCTGCCATTTGAAGTTTAATTCTCTTGACTCTCCTCTGGAAGTCTTAGCTCCCTCTTTACCTGTGATACCTTAAGGATTTCTGGTTTTTTGTTTATTTTGATTTGGTTTGGTTTAGATTGTGGTAGTGCTAGCAGATCAAACCCAGAGTCTTGTGCAAGCTAAGCATGCACTTTACCACTGAGTTGTACCCCAAAACTCACTTCAAGACTTTGAAGTTTTAGGAGTTCCCTACACCCTCTATTCTGTACTTTTCTCACCAAGCCCAAATGGGTAATCAGATGA